GGCCGTGTTCAAGCATTACACGGCCGTATCCAACGCGAAGCACGACCGTGTTTCTTCCCAACTGCTGGCCGTGTAATTAACCCTGGCCGAGGCACGGGCGGACTCAGGCAAAGCACGGCCGTGTCCTCGACCGTGCTTTGGCCACTGATGCCTTTTTAAGCAGATTTTCAGCCAAAGAGAAGGGGATTCGAGTTTTTGAGAGAGAAAACGATTCCTAGAGAGAGAAAGCGACGAACAAGAGTCTCCAAGTGCCCTAGATTGATCTTCAACACCATTGGAGGCCCGCTTGAGCTTGGAGGAGTGCCAATCAACGTCCAGGAGCAAGAATCCATCCTTTACGGTATGAATTCCGCGTCTGATTCTACTTTTGCTTTCTTCTCCATGGAGTAGTTCTCCCATTCATCTGGGTATGGAGAACCCTAGATTTGTATGTTAGGCTTTGATTGTATGAACCCAAGTACTGATTCTATGATTGATTATATTCGATTGAGGTTTGAATGATTGAATGACTTGAATCCTGATCAAATTCCTGTTGTTTCTGCTTTGACCTAGAATGAGAATATCTGCCTAGGTTAATAGAGTATCCTTGATTGAAGGTAGGGAGCTGGTGACTTTAATCGAGGAACCAACTCACTATTCTGTACCGGATTTACTCCAGTAGTGGAGGTTTTGTTCTTAGGGCCTCAATCTGTCTACTCCGGTGGAGGTTAGTCGCCCGCTAGAGATTCAGATTGAGAGGGTCTGAAGACCTTTAGTCGAGACTTCAGGCTATTTAAGAACCTTCCGCAGTATAACTTTCATAGAAACTGAACTTGGTAATTACAATCCGGCTTAACTGCAGTCTAGGGGGAACCATATCCGGGTGACCTCTCTTAACCTGAATACAACAGTTTACTTGCTTTGTTTGTTTGGTAGTTTAGACTTGCATTCCAGTTTCATTGCTAGATAACAAGAACTCACTGAGTAGTCATCAGATCTCGGACCCGGGTTGACATATAAACCTAACCCGCTATACTACGCTTTAGGAAGTGGTTTCACTTGGCCAATTCCTGGGGTGACAGTAGAAGTGAGTCAAGTTTTTGGCGCCGATGCCGGGGACGGCTAGGTTGTTGAAGAAAAGTGATTTCTGTTAATTTAGCCTTTCTTTCTGCTTTGTTTGCTTTGTCCCACTTGTGCCTTCACGGGTTTGCTTGCTTGAGTGTGTGCAGGTAGTGCATGACCCGTAGCCAGTCGGGAGGTTTACTGCTGTTGAATCCAGAGAATGAACGCACCTGTCGCCAACTCCGGAGACAACAGCGAGCTAGACTGGCTACGTGAGCAGTGATTCTGAGGAGGAGTACGAGATGGAAGACTACAATCAACACCAGGGGAATCCTCAGCAGGCTCCCCCGGTGAATCAGGTCCTGGGGAACAACCCCATACCCCAGGATCATGGAGTTCATCATCCACCGCAGCCGGGTCCCACCTTGGAGTACTACTACACTCCACGGATTGCTGACATCCGCCCGGTCATCCTCTACCCGCCTATCCCAGCAAACAACTTCGAGATCAAGCCATGCTGGATTCAGCTCATTACATCTTCCATCCAGTTCCATGGCTTGAAGGATGAGGAGGCCAGGGTACATCTCTCCCGTTTTCTGCAGCTGACGAACGGGTTCAAGCTGAATGGTGTCCCGGATGATGCAATCCGCCTTCATCTTTTCCCCCATTCTATGGCGGGGAATGCTAAGAGGTGGTTGGAGACCCAGCCCCCATTGTTTATCACCTCTTGGGACGATCTGGCTGACAAATTCGTGCACAGGTACTATCCGGCATCGAAGACTACAGAGATTCAGCGGGAGATCACTCACTTCCGCCAGGAGCCAGATGAGTCACTTCGTGATGCATGGGAGCGGTACATGGGTTATTTCTGGCAGTGTCCCCACCATGGCTTTAGTGATGCATTCACAGTGGGGAATTTCTACAGTGCGCTCTCTCCAGACAGCCAGAGGGTGATTGAGTCTCTATGCCCAGGAGGGGATGTTCTCACTAAGACTCCACCCGAGCTGAACCAGATGATTAATACATTGGCTGCCAGAGATCATTCCTGGGGGCAAAGCAGCAGAGGCAGACATTCCAGGGACCGTGGTGTGCACGCCATGGGACCAGATCCGGGCTCGAGTAGCAGGTAGCTGAGCTAGTGCAGACATTGAAGTAGCCCAACAGTCTTATTCTGGGCAGAGGTTTGGCTACACCTCCAGTTGCTCAATGTCAGTGGTGTGAGAGCTCGAATCACTTAGTGAAAGACTGCCAGGCTATGAGGGAGTCTACCACACCCCAGGAGCAGTTGGCCTTCATCACCAATGCGCGGCGCCTCGATCCATACAGTAACACATATAATGAGGGGTGGCGCCAGCATCCCAATTTCGCCTGGAGCAGCAACACCACTAAACCACCCGGTTTCCCAGCACCAGCAGGTGGTTTTTAGTAGAGGCAGTCCTTCCAGGCTCGTTAGGGGCCAGACCTACAGCAGCAGCCATTCCAGCAGCCCCAGCGCCAGTTTGCCGAGCCAGCAGCAGCTCCAGCCCCAGATGACAAGATGACGAAGTTGGAAAACATTCTAGCTTCATTCATGACGAGCACTGAGGCGACTATCACGAGGTTGGACCAGAGTGTAGCCTCACTGGAGGCAGGTCAGAGGAACCAGGGTGCCATTTTGCAGGATCTGCAGACCCAGGTGGGCATCTTGGCCCGCCATAACACCACCAGGGCACCGGGGACTTTGCCTGCCACCACTGTCCCGAATCCTCGAGATCCTCACCAACATCAGCAGCTGGATGCCATTTTTACCAGGAGCGGTAAGACCATATCTGCTGATCCTGTCCCGGCCAGACAGGAGGAACCACTGCCTGCTTCAGCACTTCCAGCCGACGATGCAGAAGTACGGGTGGAGAAGGAAGCCCCTGCTCCCAAGCCACAACCAGTGGTTAAGGAGCATGTGCCCCAGCTTTCCTTCCCCACTCGCTACACAAAGACAAGCTGGAGACTGAGTTTGCCAAGTTTATGGCAATGTTGAAGCAGCTCAACATCAGCATACAGTTCGTGGAGGCACTGTCGAAGATGCCCAAGTACGCGAAGTTCATGAAAGATCTCTGCACCAACAAGAAGAAACTTGGGGATCTCTCGACAGTGATGCTGAGCGAGGAGTGTTCTGCTATCCTGCAGAACAAGCTGCCCTAGAAGCGCAAGGATCCAGGGAGTTTTACTATCCCTCTTACTATTGGCAGCATGCATGTAGGCAAGTCCTTGGCGGACCTAGGCGCTAGCATAAACGTCATGCCATATAAGTTGTATAAAAAGCTAGACCTAGGTGAACTTAGCCCTACTAGGATGAGCATTCAGCTGGCTGATCGTTTCATTGTGCATCCTAGGGGAATCATAGAGGATCTGCTTGTCAGTGTCGGTGCATTCACATATCCTGTTGATTTTGTTATTCTTGATGTGCAAGAGGATGTGGATGTGCCTTTGATTCTAGGTAGGCCATTTCTTGCCACCGCCAAGGCACTTATTCATGTGCATGATGGTAAACTGATCCTGCGTGCTGGGAATGAACAGGCTACTTTTTCTGTGACTGAGTTTGATCACTGTGCTATGATTGCTGTCACCCCTGTGCATGCTATGTCTGATCAGGTACACGAGCCTGTCGTGTATCCTTCTGCACCTCCTATTTTGCAGGACCCTCCCATCATTCCTTCGCCGCCACTCCATCCAGCCTCGCCTGCGAACAAAAAGCTCAAGGAGGAGTGGCGGCCGAAGCCGCAGGTTGCTAAGCCTGCACGGAAGAAGCGTGGAGACCACTATGAGCTGGTCCCACCTCCTGCACCATGACCACCCTGGTCGTCCGGGTACTCACTCGCCTGCATCTTGCCAGATGGCCAGGTCGAGCTGACCGATGATGGTGGTCGCATCTGGCGGGTGCATGGCCACAACCTGAAGCTGTACCTCAAGAGCGACGTGGATCCGCTCTTGGAGGCACCTGTTCCTTCACCTCCCTGAGTATCCACCATGGGCGTCCAGCTAAAAGACGGTAAAGAAGCGCTTGTGGGGAGGCAACCCCACCACGGTTTGATTTTCTTTCTTGTGTTTTGAGTCGGATTGTAACCCGGTTTGGGTTTGGTTTGTTTTTCTTTTGGTTTGGATGATGTTTTATTGGGCTGACCATTGGACCTAACATACTGTGTTGAGCTCTCTGGTTTCCTCTCGCTGTGCTTGTCTTGACTGGTCCCCTCTCCAGTCCGCTTCACTCGACTGGCCCGCTTCCAGTCTCCTGCAGTCCATGCATACCGGTAACATCGTTCCCCTTATCCTTCCCTCTTCTCCATTGAGGGAAATGTCGATCTTATGTGTGGGGGGGGGGGGGGCATTTATCTTTTGACTGCATTAGATCTGTTTGTGTGCTTGGAGCCTAGTCCAGGGCTCCAAGTACGTGTTTCCTTGCAATTGCCTGCTCAGTATGCTTTGAATTGACAGTCTTTATAGTAATATGCAACCTACACTACAACAAATTCGGCTTATTATGACGAGACAATTTTGTCATATTATATACCATTTTTGTCATATTATGTATAATATGACAAGAGCTGTTGTCACAAAGGGTTGTCATTTTATCGCCGTCAAGATAGGTCAAATGTGACAAAAATGTAAAACAAGGTTGTCACATTTTCTTTCAGTATAGTTGAGGTTCTAGGTAGTCTATTGTGACAAAAAGAGATGTTATGACGACATGTTTTGTCATTATGGTTGTCATAATCTAGTGATTTTGGGGAGAATTTTCGTCATATTACACAATTATATTTTGCCATAACTGTATATTGTGACGACTACATTTTGTCACAAGTGTTTATTGTGACAACATTATTTTATCATAACTAAATATTATGATGAATATACTTTGTCATAACTGCATATTATGACGAGTATAGGTTGTTAGGAAAGGTGGTTTAATTGTCTCAGGTCTAATATGACAAGAGAACAATTTGTTAGGCAACCTGCTTCAAAAATTTCATAATTCAAAATTGTTTGCTGCATTACAACCTGATAATGGAAAGATTATCAAAGATCCAAAACATTACAACCATTTCCATGGCAGTCTAACTCCTTGTTCATCATAACCAAACATTCTAAGTTGTCCACTATGACACAAAACATTCTAACTCCTTTGCGGATCTTGGGTTCTCCTTTGGTCCATACTTCACTTTTTTCTTCAGGACCTTCTAAATAATCTAATGACTGGCTCCTCAAGTCAATGATGATACGGTGATGAGCTCGATCCTCTTGGACTTCTCATGAGAACAACGAAGCTCTGGTCGAACGGACAAGATTTGTGAGCGAACAAGACTAGTGTAATACCCCAATATGAAGTTGTGTCGAGTAGCAACAAGATTTTAAAATAGCTCCTCCGAATTGAACTTGTTCCATGCTTCCTTTATTGCACAACATGAATCATAGGGAATTATTAAGTTACTTTGTTGGGTGAAAAAGAACGAACACCAACTGTTCACATTTTACCTCAAGTGTAACCATATATGTACCTTTAGTAAGTCAAAGACCTTCTCCGCGACGTACTTTTGTTGAAGGTTGGCACCTTTCTGTTGCACTTTATAGGGTGAATGCATAAAGTTGCTTTCCTGTATACTTTTTTAACCGCCTTAGCAGTAATCAGATCGGTCAAGGAAACCGGCTGCCAACCACATTCAAGCCACAATACCTGATAGATACAAAAACGAGTTTTTTATTAGGCAGAAAATATCGAGCACAAAAACAACATGAATTGGATGAGTTACTACGGATGAAGAACAAAAGCTTGGATAAAACACTAGAAACCATACATATTGCAATGTTGATAGTAGAGCACGCAGATTCCCTTCTTCCCCAGCAGCCCATTGCTTGATCTCGAAATCAAGAGTTTTACCAATTTTCTGGAAAAGAAGGAACAAGAGTAAACAACATCAGATGACCGCAGTGCAAAACCACTCCCACAACACATCATCTTTATCAGTCGTAGACCACATAAAGTAACATAAACATGGCACGAGAATCTCAGTTCTTCGATTGAGAACTATCACACGAATGGAAATGATAAAGCTGGGAGGTCAGCAACTTCCATCTGCATAACACTAGATATTACTTTTTGGTACTAGAGGATAGAGGACTAAAAGATCCAAACTAAATGGCAGGGCTTCAACGGGATAAGCTGTGATGTAGATTAACACAATAGACGTCCTAACTCCTAACTAGTGCGACAACCATCACCTTTCATTGTATTCATTCCAATGAAAACCAATAAAAACCCTAGGTGTAATGTAGAGTAACACTTCCTACCTACTGCGACAACCTTCACCTTTCATAATATTCATTCTAATGACTTTCTATGACAACCCATAAAAAGACGCCAGGTTCATTCAGCAAACCACTGTAGTGCTGTAAAACAGCCTGATTTAAAAACTCCTACAATAAAGCTAACTCCAATAAGCTTCTACAAACAATATAAAAAGCCAAGGAAATTATCCAAGGAAATTGGATCCAGTAAAGTTAGCTTTAATAAGCTTCTACAAATAATTTAAACAACAAAAAAATTTTCCAAGGAAATTATGACAACTTACATGTCTCTCTTCTTGTTCCCTCTGAGCTTAAAGGTCACGCTGATTCTTCTCAGCCAATGCTTGTTTATGGGGAAACATAAATAAGTGGCAATTACAGCTACAGAAGCAGAAGCAGAAGAACAACACATGCTTAGATCTTGGATTAGATTTGCTCGGGGGAAATCGAAATAGTAGGCAATTACACTACACATAATTGAATAGATACCAAGTAAAAAAGTTATCTTTTTAGCAAACCCACCCACCTTAGTTAGTAGAATTGCAAAGGTAGAGAGGAGTTGTGAGGGGCGACGATGAAAAGTTTTGCAAGAACAAAGAACAATGATTCCAAATCAACAATGAGAAGGTTGATTCCAAATACACAACTTGGGAGGGGTGACGATGACAAGTTCTTGGAGCGGCAGACGCACGATTGAGGCGGTAGAGGCTGCCGGCGATGATTGAACGGGAAGAATGACGTGGTGGCCCCGGATTTCAAATGCTGCCGTCGGGTCGGATTGTTTTGCAGCGGCTAGCAGTGGAGGCAGCCAGCGATGATTGAACTTGAAGATGAAGGTGGCGCCGAGCGGGAGAGCGACTGCTATTGGAGAAGAAGATGAAGTAGGGTTCAATGAGCCCGACGTTTTTTCCATTTTTATTATTTAAGTTTCAGTTTATAATAACACTGATAAAAAAAAGAAGTGGAAAAAGGATCAATAAATTAAATGGGTATTAGGGGCAGGCGGGTGGGTGCATGATTTGAATTTTTCAATTACATGGAAAATTTGGGCGGGCTCGGGGAAATTTTTTGGGCGGGATATGGCTGTAATTTAGGCGGGGTATGGTCGAATTTTGGGTGGGGAATGGGATTTGTGTGAGTTCAACAAGAAAATATGACAAAAATATCTTTTGTCAAATACAAAATCACTATATTATGACGAACATGCCTTTTGTCAAAGCCGAAACCACTATATTATGACGTACTTGCCCTTTTGTCAGCTCGCCGTTGGATTATTGCTATCTATTGTGACAAAATACTTTGTCATTTAAACAATTCAGGAATGCATAATTTGACAAACTGAATTGTGACACAAAGTATTTGTCACATTACGCACTTTAAATGACGAAATATTCTGACAACAATAAATTTGTCACTGTTGAGTCTCTTACATCCCGATATGGGACGCCTATTTTGACAAAATTAATTGTGACACAAAATATTTGCCACATTACTCACTTTAAATGACGACTTATTCTGACAACAGTTATTTTGTCACATTAGGCATACCAAATAGGACATATATTATTTTTGTCATATCAACGTACCTATTGTGACAAACCGAAAATGACAAAATAATTTTTTTGTCCTAATAGGCCGAATTTGTTGTAGTACTAGGGACGTAGTGTAGCACTATGGAGGATGTTGATGCATTTAAGAAATCTCATTTCTTCTTCATATTGTGTTGGTTAATTGAGTGAATTAGTGATCTTAGGACCCTTGAATTGTGTGATGTTGTGGATTTTCTACCTGTCATGGACTCTTGTGTCATGTTTTGAAAATAACAGGTGCTCGAAAATGTGCTTCAAAATAAACGTCTCCCGTGCGAATAGGGCGAAAGTGTGTAAGGGGAGACGGGAATTCATTCCCAATTTCCACCTACTACCTCCAGCCCCCTTACATGTCTTTCCCCCGCACGAGGCTCGAGACATCCGCTCCTGGCATGGCCGGTAAGAACAGGTTGGGACCCTTGAAAGCAAAAGAAAAGAAAAATATCAGAAAACAAGCAAAACAGGAAAAAAAGGGGGTTCCAACCATCTTTAAGCAGAAAATAGAGCACCTTGAAAAATGTGAGTCCATGGTCTTTTGTTTTTGAGAATCTCTTCATCCACAATTCATTTGTCCTCTGTTCACTATTTTCCATGATGCCGACTCGATACTAGTGCTCTCGCCGAAGAAGCTATGAGATGACTTGTGCGTCGGTTGACCTCGTAAGTTGCTAAATGATCTAGGAAGTCCTCTACCTACGATCTGGGTTGTTTGTTGCTATAGAGGTCTGGAGAGTTGCATTGGTTTGAGTTAGGTTTGCTTGGGGACAAGCAAACAGTTAAGTGTGGGGGAGTTTGATAACGATGTAATTGCACATATTTGCGCCCCTAGTTCTTATCCGTTTGAGGGGCATAGTCATGTATTGTGGCCTATTTTATGGCGGGTTGTGCTATTTTGTCATGTTTCAGGTCCCAGGTGTCAAAGGGAAGGCTAAGCGCGAGTTTCGGGGCATTCGGAAGTCATTTCGGTGAGCTGGAGCCAAAACACGGGCACACCTAAATCATTACACGGCCGTGTTCTGGTGGCCGTGCTTTTTATGCCGAGAGCTGAGCTGATTACACGGGCAGGGCCGAGACAAAGCACGGCCGTGTTCAAGCATTACACGGCCGTATCCAACGCGAAGCACGGCCGTGTTTCTTCCCAACTGCTGGCCATGTAATTAACCCTGGCCGAGGCAAGGGCGGACTCAGGCAAAGCACGGCCGTGTCCTCGACCGTGCTTTGGCCACTGATGCCTTTTTAAGCAGATTTTCAGCCAAAGAGAAGGGGATTCGAGTTTTTGAGAGAGAAAACGATTCCTAGAGAGAGAAAGCGACGAACAAGAGTCTCCAAGTGCCCTAGATTGATCTTCAACACCATTGGAGGCCAGCTTGAGCTTGGAGGAGTGCCAATCAACGTCCAGGAGCAGGAATCCATCCTTCACAGTATGAATTCCGCGTCTGATTTTGCTTTTGCTTTCTTCTCCATGGAGTAGTTCTCCCATTCATCTGGGTATGGAGAACCCTAGATTTGTATGTTAGGCTTTGATTGTATGAACCCAAGTACTGATTCTATGATTGATTATATTCGATTGAGGTTTGAATGATTGAATGACTTGAATCCTGATCAAATTCCTGTTGTTTTTGCTTTGACCTAGAATGAGAATATCTGCCTAGGTTAATAGAGTATCCTTGATTGAAGGTAGGGAGCTGGTGACATTAGTCGAGGAACCAACTCACTATTCTGTACCGGATTTACTCCGGTAGTGGAGGTTTTGTTCTTAGGGCCTCAATCTGTCTACTCCGGTGGAGGTTAGTCGCCCGCTAGAGATTCAGATTGAGAGGGTCTGAAGACCTTTAGTCGAGACTTCAGGCTATTTAAGAACCTTCCGCAGTATAACTTTCATAGAAACTGAACTTGGTAATTACAATCCGGCTTAACTGCAGTCTAGGGGGAACCATATCCGGGTGACCTCTCTTAACCTGAATACAACAGTTTACTTGCTTTGTTTGTTTGGTAGTTTAGACTTGCATTCCAGTTTCATTGCTAGATAACAAGAACTCACTAAGTAGTCATCAGATCTAGGACCCGAGTTGACATATAAACCTAACCCGCTATACTACGCTTTAGGAAGTGGTTTCACTTGGCCAATTCCTGGGGTGACAGTAGAAGTGAGTCAGGCCTCAATCTGTTTACTCCGGTGGAGGTTAGTCGCCCGCTAGAGACTCAGATTGAGAGGGTCTGGAGACCTTTAGTCGAGACTTCAGACTGTTTAAGAACCTTCCGCAGTATAACTATCTTAGAAACTGAACTTGGTAATTGCAATCCGGCTTAACTGCAGTCTAGGGGGAACCATATCCAGGTGACCTCTCTCGACTTGAAAACAACCGTTTAACTTGCTTTGTGTTTTTGTTTGTTTGAACCTGCACTTAAGTTTTACCGCTAGATAATAAGAATTCGCTGAGTAGTCATCAAATCTAGGACCCGGGTTGACATTAAAACCCAAACCCGCTATACTACGCTTTAGGAAGTGGTTTCACTTGGCCATTTTCTAGGTGTATTTGCACGTTAGCGTCTTGTAATATTGATGGACATGTGATTCATTGATTGGTTTTGTCATATAAACATATAAACCAATTAATTGTGGCACAATGGCATAACGGGCACGAGTACGAACTCTTAGTAACGAGTCCAACTTGTACAATAAGGTGAATTTGCACTTTAAATGTCTTGTAATGTTGATGGACATGTGATTCATTGATTGTTTTCGTCATATACACACATAAACTGCTTAATTGTGTCATAATGACAAGAAGTGCACGAGTATGAACTCTTAATAACGAGTCCACATTGTACAATAAGGTGGATTTGCACGCCAAATGTCTTGTAATGTTGATAGACATGTGATTCATTGTTTGGTTTAGTCATTTAAACACATAAATCGCTTAATTGTGTTATAATGCCAAGACGTGCACGAGTACGAACTCTTAGTAATGAATCCAAATTGTACAATAAGGTGGATTTTCAATCCAAAGGTCTTATAATGTTGATAGGATTGTGGTTCATTGATTGGTTTAGTCACATAATCACATAAACCGCTTAATTGTGGCATAATGACATAGTGGGTACAGGTACGAACTCTTAGTAACGAGTCCAAATTGTACAATAAGGTGGATTTGCATTTTAAATGTCTTGTAATGTTGATGGACTTGTGATTTATTGATTGGTTTCGTCATATAAACACATAAACCTCTTAATTGTGTCATAATGACAAGACGTGCACGAGTACGAACTCTTAGTAACGAGTCCAAATTGTACAATAAGGTGGATTTGCACTTTAAATGACTTGTAATGTTGATGGACATGTGATTCATTGATTGGTTTCGTTATATAAACACATAAACCGCTTAATTGTGTCATAATGACAAGACGTGCACGGTTACGAACTCTTAGTAACGAGTCCAAATTGTACAATAAGGTGGATTTGCATTTTAAATGTCTTGTAATGTTGATGGACATGTGATTTATTGATTGCTTTCGTCATATAAACACATAAACCGCTTAATTGTGGTATAATGACAAAATGTGCACGAGTACGAACTCTTAGTAACGAGTCCAAATTGTACAATAAGGTGGATTTGCACGCCAAATGTCTTGTAATGTTGATAGACATGTGATTCATTGATTGGTTAGTCATTTAAACACATGAATCGCTTAAATGTGTCATAATGCTAAGACTTGCACGAGTACGAACTCTTAGTAACGAGTCAAAATTGTACAATAAGGTGGATTTGCACTTTAAATGTCTTGTAATGTTGATGGACATGTGATTCATTGATTGGTTTCGTCATAGAAACACACACACCGCTTAATTGTGTCATAATGACAAGACCTGCACGAGTACGAACTCTTAGTAGCGAGTCCAAATTGTATAATAAGGTGGATTTGCACGCCAAATGTCTTGTAATGTTGATAGACATGTGATTCATTGATTGGTTAGTCATTTAAACACATGAATCGCTTAATTGTGTCATAATGCCAAGACGTGCACGAGTACGAACTCTTAGTAACGAGTCCAAATTGTACAATAAGGTGGATTTGCAATCCAAAGGTCTTGTAATGTTGATAGGCATGTGATTCATTGATTGGTTTAGTCACATAAACACATAAACCGCTTAATTGTGGCCTAATGACATAACGGGAAGGAGTACGAACTCTTAGTAATGAGTCCAAATTGTACAATAAGGGGGATTTGCACTTTAAATGTCTTGTAATGTTGTATACATGTGATTCAGTGATTGATTTCGTTATATAAACACATAAACCTCTTAATTGTGTCATAATGACAAGACGTGCACGAGTACGAACTCTTAGTAACGAGTCCAAATTGTACAAATAAGGTGGATTTGCAATCCAAAGGTCTTGTAATGTTGATAGGCATGTGATTCATTGATTGGTTTAGTCACATAAACACATAAATCGCTTAATTGTGGCATAATGACATAACGGGAAGGAGTACGAACTCTTAGTAATGAGTCTAAATTGTACAATAAGGGGGATTTGCACTTTAAATGTCTTGTAATGTTGTGGACATGTGATTCAGTGATTGATTTCGTTATATAAACACACAAACCGCTTAATTGTGTCATAATGACAAGACGTGCACGAGTACAAACTCTTAGTAACGAGTCCAAATTGTACAATAAGGTGGATTTTCACTTTAAATGTCTTGTAATGTTGATGGACATGTGATTCATTGATTGGTTTCGTCATATAAACACATAAACTGCTTAATTGTGTCATAATGACAAGACGTGCACGAGTATGAACTCTTAGTAACGAAGATTGGATGATGATGAATTTGAAGTATTTACTATATAATATAGGGCGAGTATGTCGGCTAGTGGAGTCCACAGAGCATGTTGCCGAGTGAGTCAGATAGATGCCATGGTATACATAGTGTTGCTTCTTTTTCGCCCAATTCTAAGAAATAAAAATCCGTCAATAAATGAAGAACCCCATTATATAGATGATATGAGAGGGCTAAGGCAGTAATCTCGACGGAGATTATCACTCACTCTTCTTAGTTCTCGTTCTTCACTCGCTAGGTCGGGAGATGAAAAATAGTCCTTAGGCCTTGGAATCCTAAAGTATTTCTGTCTTAAGAGTTCTCCTCTCTATGAATTTATACTTATAGGGGTAACAACCTCATACTCGTCGAATACCCGTTGAATACCGGAGCTCATGCCTTATCGAGCATGTTTTCTCATTTTGAAAGTACTTTATTCTGCCGCAGCAAATGGTAATCACAATAAGGATTTTAAGAAAGACGATTTAGTTACTTCTTCTTTATTCCCCAGATTCTAAAAAGAAGATAAACTGTCAGGAGCTATAGCAGATCGAACGAATGTGAGAGGATCTAACTAGTGCTTTATATAACATTCTTGTAGCATCTATCCTCCGTCACTCTATCATTAACCTCTCTCCACTAACTATTAAGAAGTTTCAATAGGCACTAGTATGTGCGTATGATGCGAAAAAAAACAGGGGGTCGTTTGGATCTAGGTTTCTAGTGAGTGATTTGTGAGGAATTTTAAAACAATCCCTCGTTATGCAGGATTTTAATACAATTATGCGTTTGGAAAGATGAGAGATTGTTAGGATTAGAGATTTCAAAATCTCTCATATGCAGGTTTTTAAAATAGCTGATGGGGACCAGCTATTTCACAATCCCTCATTTTTTATTGCATTTTTCCAAAGCCTACCCTCCTTCATCGGTGTTATTCCTCTTCTCAGATCGTCTTCAACTTATTATTCCGACTTCTTCTTTCTTTTCTCCGACCATCCTCAACCGACATCAATAGTGAGATAATCTCTGATCTCCTCCGACGACCAAGGATAAGATTACGGCGGGATTTCGTTTAATTCATTCTTCTTCTCTTCAATCATTCTTCTGGCCTCTGATCCGGCGAAATTCAATCGACTGCTACATCGAGTAGAAGCTAGGATTCTCCCTCTCGACCCCTCACTGTGCCTTCCTTCCCCGCAACCGAAAAAGGTAGCTGCTCAAGCAAGCGCCATCGGCGATGATGCAGAGATGGGGTTTTATCGATGGGGAGATTGCATGTTCTGCGTAACTAGGTTTGTAAGGAAGAAGACGACGAGAAGAGCGACGGAGGTTTTTGGGGCCATGAATCTGTTCGCCGACGGAGATTTTGTGTCGACTCCTGTTCGAATCGAATCCGAAGCCCACAACTCAACTTCTCTCGCCACTTCTGTTCATTCCCGTCGATGGGTAGATAAGTGGTTGGTGGATTTTGGGTCAATTTCCGTTGCCGGTTTCTGGGTTACTCGCCAACCCCGCCGCATCTCGATGAAAACGAATCTGGTCCTAGATACTGCGATTGCGCTGATGGAAGAAGAAGCAATGGAAGATGGAACCTAGCCTTGTGAAGATGGAAGAGTTGCAAACTGTGGAAGGAGGTCTGGACTTCATATTGAAATTGCTACAACAACACTCAATTGGATGGAAATTGGCGGAGAGTGATAGGTTGAATATGGAAAATCGGCAAAGATTGGATCAATTGGATGGAGATTGGATGAAGCAGAGAGGAAGAGAGGGTTGCTCGGTTTGGCCAAGGAAGAAGGAGGAAGTGGGATTTATGGGCACATCTGTAATTTTGATTTCACTATTAAAAACACTTAATAATATCCAAACAAGTTATTTGGGCCAAATCTCTCATGTAAATTAGCTGGGATTTTAAATGAGAGATTTTAAACCAAATCCCTCATTATCAAAATTACTCATCCAAACGACCCCAAGTGTATTTTGTTCGTTTCCTTCCACAAAGATGCACTTTCTTTTTCTTTTAGTTTCTTTCTTCTAGCTTGTCAATTATTGAACTCTCTATCAATCAGCAGAAAGAATTGTGGTCTCTACTAATTAGCCGGAAAGCGCTTTACCGGAACTCTGACGTTGATCTCGCTATAGTAGGAGGAAGCAAGAAGAAACGGGCAGTGGTTTGTCGATTACTTGGTGAAAGGAAGCTTCTTTCGATATTTCTTGTTCATCTCTGCTGAAAACAGCTCTTGCCTCTTCCCGCTGATCATGCAGCAGCATAATCGGATTAGGGTTTGTATCGTCTCTTTTCGTTCTTAATTTTGTGAGAAACTGGAAATCGAAGTGCTCTTTAAGTTTGTGTTTTTGCCACTCGGTCTTTACTTGGTGGTATGCTGGCCTTGGATGGTTGAATCTGTCCTCTTCCTTTTGTCGGTTACTAAATGCGTAATGGGTTCTGGCTCTGGTGGGGAAATGATCAAATTTGAATTGTGATCCCACTATGGTTGCTTTGACACTTATAAGTTTCTTGTCTTCTCTGGTATAATCAATTTAAGACCTTCTTTCTCGATTCTGTAGTTGAATTCTTGTTATTGGTATGGTTGTGCAGCCTTTATCTAAAGCTTTAAGAAGCTGCTTCTAAAGTTCAAGTTTTGACCATTGACCAGTCAGAATCTGGTATGGAGTTCTACTATCGACTTCATAAGTTCTGTCAACTGGAGTCAAGAAAGTGGCTCATCTTTGTTGGGGCAGTCGCCATTGCTCACTTACTGTTTCAGCCCCTATTGTTTCCATATGGATACGCCGTTCGGACTCTTCTTCCCACAGCCCGTGATCCCGTATTTGATGAAAGCAGGGTGATCGGGACAGGGCAATCTTCCATCAAGTCTGGAGTTGCTCGGAATGCTTTAGCAGTTGATGCATCAAGTGAGTTGAAAATTGGCCTTTTTGCCCAGAATGAGACTAAATCTGATGGTGCTGGAGACGTTAGTCATGTCAGTGAAGTGAAAGGACATGGTGGAGATACAGAGAACGGTTTAGCATCGGAGGAAGTAAACTTGGATGATGATACTGCTGAACTTGCTGTAGATAGAGATGTTGTTGATGATGATGATGATGAGGATGATGTTCGGTTGGAGAATATAGTTGATGGAAATGAGGTTACTCAAGAAAAAGATTCTGTTCTAGAGTTGCCCAGTGAAGCCAAAAAGGGACTTCCTCCTGTGCAAGATGTAACTAGCAAGACCAGTGAAGCCCCTGCAGCTTTGTCTCAAGCTGTACCTCCAACAACCGGTGCTAGCCATTTGAAAGAAAACGGAGCCTCCTCTATTGGTTCTGCGGTTGTTAAAGGTGCCTTTACCACTTCAAAGAATAATTCTGCTGGAGTTAGTAACCCTGTGAAGAAAAAAATTAAGGCTGAGATGCCACCAACGTCAATTACAACATTTGATGAGATGAACCAGTTGTTAGCCAGAAATCGCCAGTCTTCACGGGCAATGGTATGAACTTTACTTGCTTAGGCATGAAATCTAATGTGGTCTCTTCATTTGAATCAGCATATTTAGACCAGTTTCAAATTTCTTTGTAGAGACCAAGATGGTCCTCTGAACGTGATCGGGAGATTTTGGCTGCAAGTTGGCAGATCGAAAATGCACCTGCCGTGGTTAACGATCCAGATCTTTATGCTCCGCTCTTCAGAAACGTTTCACAGTTCAAAAGGTAACCACCTACATCAAGATACCAATTGCTAGTTAGTTCCAGGAGTGTCACTATGACAAGTTACCCTGATCTGTTTTGTTTTGATACAAGATGATGATAGCAAACTAGAAAATAGAGTGAAAACAAGAAAATGGGAATGGTTATGAAATAACCGACTATTAAGAATGAGAAATGTTGAACCTTCCATCTCTAGTTCAAAATCATTAGGCAGATTGTAGTTGCAAATCGTTGCTTGCTGTGAAGCTTATTCTGCAGTTTCATTGTCAGTATATAATACTCGACTTTTGGGTCTGAAATCACTATGGATTGAGATTTCATATCTAAATCTCTCTGGTCTGTAGCGAGATATGAGATGAAGCATGAGTCTGTTAGGGCTAAGCCATTAAGCTGTGATACATCCAAATTCAGCAACTAAAAGTTTTGGGATGATAGGTCTTTTTTGTCAAATTAGTTATTGAAAAGTGTCATTGGTTGACCTTGCATATCCTATTCTCATGCCACTTCATACTTCTAGGTGTTAGACGAGTTTTTATTAGGCAACTTCTTTTGTTCCTGCGTCACTGATTCACCTGGCTAGTCGAACTCGTATTGGCGTAATCTAGAACTTCCTCTTTGCTAAACTTTTAGGAGTTATGAGCTCATGGAACACACACTCAAAGTCTATATCTACAAGGATGGAAAGAAACCTATCTTTCATCTACCGATAATGAAGGGATTGTATGCTTCGGAGGGATGGTTTATGAAACTAATGCAGGGAAGTAAGCAATTTGTTGTGAAGGACCCCCGAAAGGCTCACCTGTTCTACATGCCATTTAGTTCACGAATGCTGGAATACACGCTGTACGTACGAAACTCTCATAATAGGACAAATCTACGGCAGCATCTGAAGGAATACTCAGAAAAGATTGCAGCTAAATATCCTTTCTGGAATCGAACTGGTGGAGCAGACCATTTTCTTGTTGCCTGCCATGATTGGGTATGTTCCTTGCTTAACTTATCCCTTCATTAGCTGCAACTTCATGGGTTGGTGATGTATGCTATTGTTTATCATATTCTTGCAGGCTCCATATGAGACGAGGCACCATATGGAACATTGTATTAAAGCCCTCTGCAATGCTGATGTCACAGTAGGCTTTAAACTAGGAAGGGACGTATCTCTTCCAGAGACATACGTTAGAGCTGCAAGAAATCCTCTCCGTGACCTTGGAGGGAAGCCACCTTCTCAAAGGAACATTCTTGCGTTCTATGCCGGAGGCATGCATGGATACCTCCGTCCAATTTTAGTCAAGCAGTGGAAAGACAAGGACCCCAACATGAAGATCTTTGGTCCTATGCCTGCTGGTGTAGCGAGCAAAATGAACTACATCCAACACATGAAGAGGAGCAAGTACTGCATCTGCCCTAAGGGCTACGAGGTTAATAGCCCACGAGTCGTGGAAGCCATCTTCTACGAATGCGTGCCGGTTATCATATCGGACAACTTCATTCCACCACTCTTCGAGGTCTTCAATTGGGACGCCTTCTCGATTATACTCCCGGAGAAGGACATTCCTAATCTGAAGGAGATTTTGGTCTCCATACCAGCAAACCGATACATGGATCTGCAGCTCGGGGTCAGGAAGGTTCAAAGGCATTTCCTTTGGCATGGTAGGCCTCTGAAATATGACCTCTTTCACATGACCCTTCATTCGATCTGGTACAACCGAGTTTATCAGATAAAACCACGATGAGAGCAATAGAAGGTTTTTAAGGGAAGTGAACATCATACTTTCTTGGTTTCCAAAGAAGTTTGTGCACATAGCTATTGTAGAATTTTTTGTTTTTTATCTGATTTGTTGTCCCTATTGATTTTTATTCTCTTGGCTTGTGGGTAAAATACCTCGAATACCATTTGAATTTGATAATTAGGTTAGACATACCACTTACGTTTGAATAGGGCGTCGAGTACCACTAAGGTCGACATTGCATCCGTCTACTTTTCTATCTCATCCAAACTTTTAATATTTTTTGGTACCCAAAATTTTTAAAAATATTCAAAACTATTTTTCAACAAGTTTTATGTAATATAAAATTATAGGGATTTTTCCAAAAGTAGCACTGTTTTTAAAAAGAATTCTAAAAATAGCACCCAACTCCGAAAAATTACAAAAATAGCACCCTTTTTGCAAAACTTCCACCCGTACCAGCGGTTTAGGCGAAAACTGTCATCCGAGGGTTCGTTTTTCGATGAAACCGCATTGGTAGGGGGCGGTTTTACAGACCGCACCCCCACCATGCGGTCTGCTTTTTTTTTTTTTTTGACAAAATCCTAACTTAGGTGGAAACTTCAAAACGAACGTATCTTTGTGTTCGGGTATCCGATCGTCGCGATTTTTTTTTTATTCTGCATAACCTTTTGAGATCTTGCAAGCCGAAGGTGGTTTGGTCCCGCATTCGTCCCAAAAAATGTCGTTTGCTACCCTGAACGAGCTTTTTTCCGATTTCGTCACACTTTAGACAACCATAACTTTGTGCTCCAAAATCCAAACAGCATGAATTTTTTTTTTTTTAATTCGCATAAATTTTTAAGAAATACAACTTTTATCATAGACATAATTTCAATATGTACGTGGATTGCTGAGAAGAGAAGATAAGCTATTCCCAAAATCCTGTATATCCAAAAATAATTTCTGTTTTGAAAATTCATTCCTAGTAAAAATTGTAGTCCTTAAAAAGTTGTGCGAAATAAAAAAAAAATTCATGTCGTTTGGATTTTGGAGCACAAAGTTATGGTTGTCCAAAGTTTGACGAAATCGGAAAAAGGCTCGTTCGGGGTAGCAAACGACATTTTTTGGGACGAAGGCGGGACCATACCACCTTCGGCTTGCAAGATCTCAAAAGGTTATGCAGAATAAAAAAAAAAATTCATGACGATCGGATACCCGAACACAAAGATACGTTCGTTTGAAGTTTCCACATAGGTTACAATTTTTCAAAAAAAAAAAAAACAGACCTCATGGTGGGGGTGCGGTCTGTAAAACCGCCCCCTACCAGTGCGGTATTCATCGAAAAACGCGCCTCGGGGTGGCGGTTTTGCAGAAAGGGTGCTATTTTTGTAATTTTTCGGAGTTGGGTGCTATATTTAGAAATTTTTTTAAATAGTGCTACTTTTTGAAAAATCCCAAAATTAGAATACCTTCTAAACATATCATTACTAAAATGGCTAATCACATTTTTTTCATAAAATAGATAAATTAATAAAAATATTAAATGAATATTAAGAAAAATAATAAGTACACTAGAATATAATAATAAATATTTAAAATTAACTTTAGAATATTTATTTAAACACTTTAATTAAATTAGAAGCACCATTAGAAATAGTTAAAATAGAACCTAATCGATCATTAATACATCAAAACCAAAAAAAGATAAATGGAACACAATCATAAGGAATAAAACATATTCCAGTCATTGAAAAAACATTTGTAGGGAAAAGAGACGGAAAGTAGCCAAGTAATAAATGAACTATAAAAGCTACAACATTCAGTAAAAAATGTAGGAAATAAAATATGAATATAGGAAGAGAATTAAAATTACTAAATTTAACTAATATGAAACATTTACAATATAATATGAGAGAATTTAAAAGAGATTAACATGGAAAATTAGACAACATCACCATGATGTAAGAGAACTAAATATAACATTCTCTGATTATTTATATCGAGATAGAATTCATAAGATATATTTGCTTCAGAAAATTATTTAAGAACACATAATGATAATTGAAAATACTTATAATGATAATTGATTCTAAACTTTCTATTAAAAAATTAATTTGATATCAAGTATTCAAAAGAGGATTTCAATTAAACAATAAAAAATTATGTTTTCCATAAGTCCCAATGGTTTTTTTACAATAAGAAAAGTAGAAGGACCTATTGTGAAATTTAGAAAACGAAATATTCCAAGAATATTCAGTCAACTTTAACGCAATGCACATAGCAGAAAACTTACGTGGTACCGGGTGCTCATATAATAGAATTCAGTGGTACCCGACATCCTATTCAAATCTAAGTAGTATGTCTGCCCAATTCTCAAACTTTAGTGATACCCGAGTGACTCGCTAAAACACAACACCTAACAAAGGCCAAGTGTAACCAATGAAAGGGACTGCAGTATAGTGGCTCAAGTGATAAATATCGAATCCACGGGTCTCTAGAGTTACTATTACTCAGCTTCAGTTTATTATTTAGCAAACCAAATTAAGATGAAAGAACTAAAACTACTCTAGCAAACTACAGTTAAAGTTAATCTAATTACAGGTTGGGAACTCACTTAGGTATGATTCCCCCTAGCCACTAGCCAGATTAACGATTGATGATCTCTAACCTGTTTCACTTTCATTCACAATGCGGAGAATCCTTGACTAGACCTTGAGTCTCGACTAAAGGAACAAGGCCCTCTTGAGTCAATTGCCTAGAGGGACGTATCCTTCTCTAGAACAACTGATCAAGGCGTTCTGAACTAGACTCCCTCTATCGAAAGGGGTTCTCAATCGATACAAAGCAGTGAATCAACCCTCGACTAAAGCAATCGATCCACTACTATCAATCTATGGTGCTCTATTGACCTAATCAGGTATTCCCTCTCATAGAATCAAAGCAGAATCAATAATCTCGACTAAAGCAGAATTGAATCATGAAAACATGCATAGATTGAATATGAACTCAAGATTATCCAGTCAGAGTACTCATACAATCATCCAATCAAACAAACATAGCTAGGGTTCCTCAAAACCTAAGTGAAGGGAAGTTACTCCATAGAGAAGAGAGAGACTGCAGTAAGAATCTTCAGATGATCAGTCTTCAAGTCCGGGCTTGTTCCTCGAGCTTCCAAGGCGAAGAAATCCTCCTTCTCTACTCCAAGAATGCCCTCAAATCGCCCTCTCTCTCTAGGGTTCGTCCCTTGGGTGTTTGGGATCCAAAACCCAGCTCTCCCTCCTCTTTGGTTCGGAATTTGGCTTAAAACCAGGAAATCCCGACTCGCACGGCCAGGGTGCACGGCCGTGCATATCACCATTCTGGCCGTGCAACTCAAAACGCAGCGTGTCATTTAGTCGAACTTCAGCCCTCTCGCACAGCCAGGGTGCACGGCCGTGCGAGCTTCAGGGGTTGCCCGTGCGTGTCCTCGGCATAAGGCGCACGTCCATATTGCTCACGTGCACGGCCGTGCAGCCTCCCTGGTCTGCCCGTGCAGCTTGCTCAGCCTCTGTTTAACGCTTCGTTTCTCCCTCGTCCGGACTCCGAATCAATCGCCGTTTGATCCCAGACGCTCGTAGTCTCGTCCTCTTTCGTTTCATAACAAGCTTGCATGATTCTTTGTCCATAAAGTGAGGTAGAAATCCATTCTTCTTCAGTTCATGCCCGAGTTTCTTCTCTCGAATCGTCAATTGATCTCTGATTGACTTGAAACTTGCGCCTATGCTTCACTTTATGTGCTAGGACCTGAAATGGGACAAAGGAATACAACCTAGCATAAAATAGGCCAAAGACGCAATAATTCAAGCTCAAACAATCAAGAAACAAAGGGGAAAACATGTGCAAATACCGAGTCATCACCGAGGTATTTACCCTAGAATTGTAAACATTCAAATATTGTAACCACAGTCCTTCGGAGTGTTGAGCATATAGATTGTATTGATAAGGTTGAATGAATGCAGGAGTTGCTTTTCTTCATTGTCCAAAGTCCAACTTCTTTTTCCTTCACCAGCCCCTTAGAGAAGGAGAAAACTCAGCAGTCTTCAACTGGAAGTCGTTGCAGATCCGCCATTTTCTTTACAATGATGGTGGCTTGCAAGTTTGTGAAACGGTTGTCTCCTTTTGCAGTGCTCTGATGGCCACTGAAGCAGAGTATCTTGGAATGAACGACTTGCTCGATGAAAAGATCATCAATATTATAATGGGGATTCGGTTGCTGGGGTTGGAGTGTTATTGATACTTTTCCTTCTGATCGAATCCCAGTTGCTGTCCAAGACCACCCCCATGGCTGAAACCCGTTACGCCACGTGTCCTTTGTCGGTCGTCCAAATGGCCAATCATGGGGAGCGGTTACGGTGCTAACTATTGTAACCAAGGGAAAAACTACTACTAGTTTGAATTAGTAGTGATTTAGCTTAGATGTTGTATTGATTTTATAATAATTCGTAGTGATTTCGTTATTTTTAGTAGTGTTTTTTGCTAGTTATCACGGTGCTAACCCCTATAATGATTAGCACCTAATCCCATCCCCCAACCATGACCCCAAAGGCCCAAACATGAATGCAACTTTCCCGCCGCCGCCGGAAAAGGTTGCGGCGAGGTTGGGCTATCGGCAACAGCTTGATATGTGGAAGGAATGAATTGCTTGGGAAATATACTGGTGCTTTTAAAATCGAAAGGGTCAGTCGTATCGTTGCACGAAACTTGAAGTGGATATTGCCAACCAGGGATAGTTGGTTGGATAGTGCATTAGTGCTCAACGTTGATGTCTTGTATGCTAGGAACACTAAGATGTTACAGCATAGAAAATGAGAAATTTGAACCAAATTCTACATGTATTTTCACATAATCTTTGCAAATTATTGAAAAGAAAATGACTCAAATTTATTGAGATTCAATGGTACCCTTGAGAATTGAAATGAGTACCTGTAAAATGTTCTATCAGTCGTAGGAATTAGACAATGCCCTTCATGGTTGTATGAGGAAAATAGAATGATTCATAACATAAACTTTGTTCCACAGGAATATAAACAGCCAAATGATTAAGAAAAGAGTCTAAAGTACATGTACTCCATGGAAAAAGTTTCAAGCTTGATGAGATGTCCATGTACCTGGGTATTGGGTCGTGCTTGGACTGGTACAACATGACCACGCCTCAGGCTCGTTTATGTCGTGCCGTATTGGGTAACTCATTTTTAAAATTTGCTCAGCCCAACCTGGGGGTTGAGGATGGTTTGAATCTTGTCGTACTTACACATTCTCATGTCATGCTTCATGAAAAGGAAGAAGATAAAAGTCAATGAAATTGAAGGAGAAAATCAGACGGGAAATGAAACTATTAATTTAGAATGTTTGAAAAAAGTAACAAATAAAGGGAAGAAGAAATTTAAGTATGAGGGGAGTGATTTGACCTTCATCTATTTTATAATTGTTCGATCATTTATATTTATGGTAGTAATTACATATAATATTTAAATTAATATTATAAGAAAAATAATTCATTATTTGTGTGTTGTATTCTATAATAATTTTAGTTTAGTTATGTCGTCTAAATGGAAAAACAATAGTGTTGTCATGAAGGAGTTCGAGAAACCTCCCAGTATTACCTCCCTTCAGGTCCTTTATAGTTGTCCATTATATGAGAAGGAAAACAAGTCGAGATTGAATCTGAGAGCTGCTATGAACTTCGTCCCGAAAGTTCCGTGTATTGCCATAAAATGGCATGTGGAATCATCATAATATGATTGATTGAGTTATCCATGAACGTTAAGAACTACCATTCTGTCCACAAAAGTTCACATCTTTGTGGCAATGGACCTACGATATTGAACATGAGCTGAAAGTAATACCACAACTTTGATGCAAATTGACAATGCAAAAATAAGTGATCGCTAGATTCCTCCACATTTTTGCACATGCAACATCTATTCGGAATAGATGATGCCAGGCTGAACTATATATTTCTTGTTTGTACACTAACGTCTCGTGTCATGCTAGCCCGTAACAATCCGGCGATCAAGTAAGTATTTGTGCTTATACCAGAAAGACCCACTTATAGGTTGTGCTCATGTTCGTTTCATGAAATTTAGGCTCGACACCAGACTGAACTATATATTTCGTGATTATACTCTGTCACATTCCGTTCTCTAAAACCTTGAAATAATAGTTTTTCTCCGGAACATATTTAATTTTTTGAAAGGAAGAATAACATTGTGCCAAGATACCAATACTGAAAATAAACTCTTATAATTCAAAAGCAAAGCCCTAACATTTGGACAAACCTCAATCTATAAAGTCTTAATCTTTTAAATCTCTACTCACTACTCATAATAATAAAGCAAATAACTAAAGGTCGCAAACACTTCTTACTCCGATCCGTGGTCATCCATCCTCAGTATCGCTCACGTGGTCCTCCTTTGGTAGCCTGCTCTCTCGCTGGATGCTCCTCAACTGGGTGCTTTCTAGCTCCTCCTCTACGACCTGGTGAGTGGGTCGGGGTCAGTCTACGCCATTACTTAAACTTGAAGCACTTACGAGTATTCCCTTAAGTCTTCACCTCAAAACTTATGGAAGTTATTTATACTTCCACCCTTTAAACTTTAACTCTTAAAAATGTGGGATTTGGAGTTACTCGCCACCCTCAAAATCTTAAATCTTTGACCGACATTGGGATCTCCTCACTAACTAGTCCAGCTGCCCAACTCATACGTATGAGGGCCAACATAGGCCTATCCTTAAACCTTTTTATGAGAGTAATCGATTCAACCCCATAAACCTTAAGAGTATATCATACTCTTCCTTTAAACTTCATGTGATGTATAAGTGATTCATCCACATGTTTCTTAAGATCAAACTTGCTCTTCCTTTAAACTTTAATTGGGGCGGGGGATTGTCGTTAGTGAACTACCTTTAAACCTTTTCAACCTAATTTAATTAGGAGTTAAATACCTCTTAAATGTTGACCTTTAAAGATCAGAAAAACTTCAATAAATAAACATAAATATAAAAGCTTCAAGATTGAAAGCTCAAATAATCATATACACTTCACAAACATAACTCAAATAGAGCATATATCATCAATCACGACATAAATCAACGTTGTCATACATTCACGCAAAGTACATACTTAAAACTCGTAAGGCAAATACTTGAAATACGTAAAGCGTAGATTTTACCCCCTTAAACCACTCATCTTATCGTTTAACTAACAACCATCAACTCTCGTTTTTCCCTCTCGACTCCCTTCATTCAATCCCACAAGCTGCTCCACTTTCTAGTGATAAGTTTCCATGTACCTAATAAGAGCTCCCTTTAATACCAATAATAAGGTACTTGGTTCCATGAGTTAAATAGTCCATGTAAGTCCAAACAAATATCATCATGTCCATATCCATCTAATTTAATCTTTGCAACTCATGTACGTGTCTCTTTCCCCACTTGGAAATTATGTGTGTGTATACATAAATAATCATAAAATGCTCCATGACCCCGTCCAAACTTCAATTAATATCTAGTTGTTTGAATGTCTCGTACTAAAGTCCAAGCCACATACCTCCTTCAGAATCAGTCACCTTTGTTCAATTCCTTTGTTCAAGTCCATGCCATCAATAGCGCGACGCCCCTAGAAGTCTCCACAACACTGAATAGCAGTTAAGTTGAATACGAGATACCTTCACACCCACGTGTGATTTCTCCCTGTCATGTCAAGATCGATCCGCTTCTGATACTGCCACCTCATTTGTCTAGCTCCCCTTGTATATACATAGAAATTCATTTCATGAATTGAACTACCCATCATCATTCTAGACGAATGAAACATATGACGCTTACCTCCTTATTTCGACGTTTCCCCGCAACAACTAATTCCCGTCAACTTGTGTCGCCGATGAAGCTTGTTGATAGCAGCCTCCAACCTCAAGCAACCAACTTCTGGTCGTAGCTCCTACTGCACGCTCATCCTTAGATGCATATATCCCTTTTCTTGGATGCATCGGTCTCCCAACTTCGCCCGACTCTTTTTTGTCCACCGACAGTGGCAAGGAGGAAGAATGGAGATGGAGTCAAGTAAATAAAATTCGTCCCTCTCTTTGTGCTCTCCTCCTGGCCGGACTTCCACTTGGCCATTTAATTGCAAAACAATGGACAAGGCCTCCCTCCCCATTAATATTCACGTGAACTCAATCCTCCATCACCTACCATGATCCCAATTAATGAAGTCTGTCCACTCATTTAGTGGAGCTTTATGATAGAGGGAAAAGAGTGGGGTGAGGATCATTTGGGTTGGGGTAGCGTGTTTATTGCTTGTGTATTGGTCATTAGACTTAGTTAGATTTGATTCAAGTTTTTTGTACTGAATCATCGACCCATAAATCGTATATTTATTTCTTGGCGAATATGGATTCAAAAGTTAGTGTGTTACATACTCGTCTCGTGTCATTAATTGTCTCATATTGTGCTAGCCCGCATCGACTGAGTACCCAAATAAAAATTGATGAGGTCATCAAAGCCAAACACACTCAAGTTGAAGGGCCAATGACTCGAGCTAGGGCTAAGGCTTTTCGGGATCAAATTGTAAGCTATTTGGCTAAGGAGTTGGAGGGCTTAAGCTTGGATTTGCTAGAAGGAAAGTCCATCACACTATTGAGCTATGTGGATCACGAAATTGGGCTCAAAGGGATGGAAGGAGGGTCGGCCATGGAGAAGGAGTCTCAAGGTGTGAATGGAATCAACAATGGATAAAGATCATGGTGTGAACACAAGGTGTGAAAGGAATTTCAAGTGTGAACACAAGGTGGGGGGGGGGGGGGGGGGGGGGGGGGGGGGGGGGAGATTTGAAGGCTAGGTTCAAGGGTAGTTGTTGACTTAGTCTTTTCCTTGTTTGTTAAGGTTTTTGTTTTCCTTTTTCAAGTAGGATTTGGTTTTCCTTAGTTGTTTTGTGTTTAGATTCGTGGGTCTATAAATAGGAATGCAACCAATGTATTTTTCATTCAAGTTTTCAGCAATCAAATACAAGTGTTTACAAGTTCAAGTGAACGTTTTGCTTATTCGCTCCTTTGAGGATTCGGGAGGTTTGAGTGGTCTCTTATCAACTAGAGAACGCGTCTAGTTGTGGCGAGCATCGACGATATTGGTTGGCCTCTTCCACGGGTTCGAGATTGTTTGGAAGGTTTCATATACCTTCTGGCCCTTCTCACGAGTTCGGATTTGTTGGATCGATTCCGCAAGTATCTTTATTTTCGTGTTATTCAAGAAATGAGAAAACCCTAAAAAGTTCGACGTGTGCAACTCTGGTTTTTGGTCCGATTTGGGAGGATTCTCGAATTATGATCATATCAAGTGTTAGGGCAAAAACCACACCGGGAGCCCTCGTATCGAAAGATATGGACAGTGGACTAGACTCCCGGCGAAACAAGCATACCCATCACACGAGAATTACACAACAAAACACACCGGGGACCCTCAAATCGAGCGATTCGGACAGTGGACTAGGCCCCCGGTGAAACAAGCATACCAAAACCGTACTAAATAAGCACCAATCGATCCACCACACAAAAAAACCACACAAGCCCTCATGCAATGCAACATGCAAATGGTAGGCCGAATAACTGAAATCCTGAGGCAAAAATAGAACAAGCAAAGAGCGTCATCGGCCTACCCAATCATCCACAAATCATGCCACAATCACAAGTTCTTCACCTAACTCTAGGTATCGATTCTCCAGAAATAAAAGAAAAGACAAGGAGAACACACCTGGAGACGCAAGGAGAGACCATGAGAGAGGTGAAGAAAGTGGAAGAAAACACCCTAAGTCGTCGGAAAAGACACCGGAGACTCGCCGGAGAACTCGGCACCGGTGACCCAACCTCGGCCAAACAAGCCCAAATCTTTGGGGAATGTGCTCCTCGACGCCAGGAGCGTGGGGGCTTTCGCGGTTTGTGATTTGGAGGTCGGGGGAGGGAGTTATGGCCGGAAAATCGAAGGAGAAGAGGAAGAGGCCGAGTTTCCGGCGAGAGGGGGGCTGGATTTTGAAAAAAAATGAATCTGGTGGGTTTTGGGGCTGAAAATCGACTTTTATAGGGGGGGAGGCAAAACACGGGCGGGCTGGAACACGGCCGTGTTCGGCCTGTTCCGCGCCCGTGTTTTTTCTGTCGAGGCCGTGTTCAGCACCTTTGAAAACACGGGCGGGCTGGGACCAAAACACGGGCGTGTTTTGGACGCCCAGCACCCGTGGATTTACTGCCGCGAGCAGTGCAGGTCGAATTCCAAAACACGGGCGGGCAGGGGGCAAAACACGGCCGTGTTTTTGTCCCCTGGCGCCCGTGCTTTTATTGCCGAGCCCAAACTGCCTTTTTTCAAAATTCCAATTTCAAACCACCAAGATTCATTCGTGCCCCGGCTCTAAAATTTACCCAATCACACATTAAAAAGAATTGCCCGAGCCACGAAAAACTTTCCAGACAGACTCCAGACAGACTCAAAGACTAAAAAACCGACAAAAAAATGAAATAAATAAAAAACAAAGGTTAGAAATGAAAACCGTGGTGGGGTTGCCTCCCCACAAGCGCTTCTTTACCATCTTTTAGCTGGACGCCCATGGCAGAACTAAGGGTCCACGAAGTCCACTGCCAACTCCGCACGTTCGACCTCGCCTCCCAAGTAGAGTTTGAGACGATGGCCATTCACTTTAAATGGTTCAGTCTGCGGGTTGGCAATCTCGATCGTGCCATAAGGGAACACCTGTGTGACCGTGTACGGTCCAGACCACCGGGAACGGAGTTTTCCGGGAAAGAGCTTCAGGCGAGAGTTATAAAGGAGAACTCGATCACCAACCTGGAACTCTTTCGGACCCCGCAACCGTGCATCGTGCAGGCGCTTAGTGCGCTCCTTGTACAGCTTGGTGTTCTCATAGGCGTGATAACGCCACTCCTCCAGCCCCAGCATCTGCAGTTTGCGCTCAACACCTGCAACACTAACATCCAAGTTTAGCAGCTTAAGGGCCCAGAAGGCCTTGTGCTCTAGCTCCACGGGCAAATGGCATGCCTTTCCATAGACAAGTCGGTATGGTGAGGTACCAATGGGCGTCTTGTAGGCAGTGTGGTATGCCCATAGAGCATCATCGAGCTTGGTGGACAAATCCTTGCGGGATAGATTCACCGTCTTCTCTAGGATATGCTTGAGCTCCCAGTTCGTCAGCTCGGCCTGACCACTTGTTTGAGGGTGGTAGGCCACAGACACCTTATGAGTTACACCATAGCGAGACAACAACTTATAGAACTGCCATGGAAATGGGTGCCCCTATCGCTTATGATGGCTCTAGGTGTCCCGAACCGGGAGAATAGCTGCTTCAGAAAACCACAAAAACGTCTAGCATCATTAGTGGGCAAAGCTTGCGCCTCAGCCCACCTAGAGACGTAGTCAACAGCAACAAGGATATAGGTATTGCCAAAAGATGGAGGGAAGGGGCCCATGAAGTCGATACCCCAGACATCAAAATTCTCACAAGTTATAAACACATTCTGGGGCATCTCATCACGGGCAGAGATGTTACCTGACCTCTGGCATCGGTCGCACCTGCGTGCGAAGGCGTCTGCGTCCTTGAAGAGCGTGGGCCAGTAAAAGCCCGATTGGAGCACCTTCCTCGCCCGCGGTTCCCTCTGTGGTGACTGCCAGTAGGTCCTTCATGACAGTGAGATAGAATGCCCTCCATCTCACTCTCCATAACACATCGACAGATGATTTCGTCGGCTCCGATCCTGAAGAGATGAGGGTCATTCCAGAAGTAGTGCTTCAGGTCGGAGAATAACTTCCTTTTGGTGTGAGTTGTCATCCCCTTGGGCAGCTGCTGGCCCACAAGATAGTTCGCAAAATCAGAATACCAGGGGATGACACTCTCCACCAGGCACATCATTATCAATCTCTCATCTGGGAAGGAGTCGTTGATCTCCTCCTCGAGGTTGTCCGCAGGGGGTGCGTCCAACCGGGAGAGGTGATCGACTGCAACATTCTCCGCTCCCTTCTTGTCCCGAATCTCAATGTCAAACTCCTGCAGCAGTAAGATCCATCGTATGAGCCTAGGCTTGGCATCAGCCTTGCTCATCAGGTATCGAATCGCGGAGTGATCTGTATACATGGTCACATGGGACAAGACCAGATAAGGACGAAATTTATCGAAGGCAAACACCACTGCGAGCAGCTCCTTCTCCGTGGTGGTGTAGTTCTCCTGGGCATCATTGAGGGTCTTCGAGGCATAGTAGATAGGTCGAAAGTGTTGATCACGCCTCTGCCCCAAGACAGCTCCAACAGCAAAGTCACTGGCATCGCACATCAGCTCAAATGGCAGGGACCAATCAGGAACAACCATGATAGGAGCTTGGGTGAGCTTCTCCTTCAAGGTCGTGAAGGCCGCTGTGCATGCATCAGTAAACTGGAAGGGGGCCTCCTTCTCAAGAAGCTTAGTCAGGGGCAGGGCGATCTTCGAGAAATCCTTGATGAACCTCCTATAGAACCCTGCATGACCTAGAAAACTCCGGATCCCCTTAACAGATGTAGGAGGAGGCATCTTGCTGATAGTCTCGATCTTCGCTCTGTCCACCTCAATCCCCATCTTGGAGATCTTATGCCCAAGAACTATGCCTTCTCGAACAATGAAGTGACACTTCTCCCAACTCAGTGCCAGGTTCGTTTCTTCACACCGTTTAAGGACAAGCTCCAGGTAATGGAGACAGTGAGAGAATGAGTCTCCATAAACTAGAAATCGCCCATAAACACCTCCATAATCTCGCCGACCAGACGGTCAAAGATGGCGAGCATGCATCGCTGAAAAGTAGCTGGGGCATTGCGTAGCCCGAATGGAATCCTCTGGTAGGCAAATGTGCCGAAGGGGCAGGTGAAAGTGGTCTTCGCCTGGTCCTCCGGTGCAATAGGGATCTGGAAGTACCCGGACATCCCATCCAGGAAACAGTAGAACTCGTGCCCCGCCAGTCTCTCCAGCATCTGATCAATGAATGGCAGCGGGAAGTGGTCCTTCCGAGTGGCGTCGTTGAGACGCCGGTAATCAATGCAGACACGGTACCCAGTCACCGTGCGCATTGGGATCAGCTCATTCTTCTCGTTAGGCACGCAGCAAACTACTCAATCGAAGAATTGATTGAGCTCGAATAAAGAACGAAGCGTTCTTAATACGAACTTGGATAAAACGGAACCAAAAGGACAAATCCACACCTGGGGATAGCTCGATTGGTATAAAAGGGTAGTTGCTCGACCACGATTGAAGTGACTATTCAATCGATACACAAGCTCAGCAAGTTTGGAATCCACCAAACCCAAAACAAGTCGCAACTTGCACAAACCAAACGGTTTTGATTTCTATTCAACAAAGTCTGAGTTTTACAACGAAAGTAGAAAGGTATTTAAAGGCAAATAAACCTAATACAAACCTAATAGAACTAGGAAACAATTAAGGTAAAAGTCTACTCTAAAAAGGTTACAAAATTCGGGTTTAAACTTCTTTTCTTGAAGCACAAATAAGCTGCCAGCAAACAGTCAAAA